TCAGAGGACCTGAGTTAGAACCCGCCTATTATTCCTACTTTTATGGCATTTTTAAATAAAAACTTTTTTTATTCAATTGGATTGAAAAATTGCATTTCATATTCAGAATATTGAATTGAACAGTATTCACATTGCACAGAAATTGCTGACATTATTTTTTAACTGAATTAAAAAAACTGTACTTTCTATTCACAATTCTGAATTGAGTAATATTCACGATGCACAGAAAATGCTAATATTATTTTTGGATTGAAAGGCATAGAAATATGCAATTCCTATAAATGAATAAAAATGCATTCAAGATTCAAAAGGATTCGTTTTAATTTATGAAACCGTATTTCTGAAAATCTGACATTTGAATCCATTTGAATCCATTTCAATCCATTCTCAATCCATTTCAATCCATTTGCTGGGAGATTATAAGAGATGCGCAAATTATTAGATTATAAGGGATTCGCTTGTTAATTGGTTGATCACCAATCAAAACCGGGCCCGCAGTTGATCGATTATCAATATAAAGCAGCTATAGTAAAGATTCTATGTAAGATTCTAGATATAAGATTGAAGGTACTACAATATTACATTAAGAAACATTCTTATTTTCCAACATTATAAACAAAATAAGTTAAATAAGAAACTACAAAAGTTGCGAAATATCAATTGAGAAATACATGTTGGAAAATAAGAATGTTTCTTAATGTAGTATTGTAGTACTTTCAACCTAATCTCTAGAATCTTACACAAAATCTTTAGTGCAGCTGCTTTGTATTGATAATCGATCAGCTGCGGGCCCGATATTCCCAGTCTTGACCGTTCAGCCAATCAATAAGCGAATTCCATTTGCGCATTTCTTATAATATTAGGACTCTACTCTCCCTACCTCAAAGAGTTCGGAAATACTGCGCTTTTCAATTTTTGCACAACCTCTATATTTGCGAAATTAGCCAATTTACAAGACCGAAAAGCGACCAACGGCATTCGAAAGACAATAGTTCGTAACCGTTTGTATCTCCTTTGTTTTTGTTTGTACATACCTCAAAGGATTCAAACATATAGCGTTTTTCAAAACTTCGGAATGCGCCAAGAGAATAAGTCATTCATTTTAAAAGATATCGAAAAGATTTGGCATGACCGACGACATTTGAAAGAGAATTGTTTGCACTCGTTTGTATCTCTTTCATTTTTGTTTGTACCTCAAAAATGACCGACTTACCCTCTTGCCGAAATTTTGAAAAATGCTGTATCTTCGAATTCTTTGAGGTACAAACGAAAATAAAAGAGGTACAAACGGGTACAAACAATTCTCTTTTGAATGATATAAACGAAATTAAAAAACCTTAAATTTGCGCGTTGGTCATTTTTTATAAATCACTTATTTTTTAACTGTTTGAGGTACAAACGAAATAATGATCAGTACAGAGAGAAACAGGTACAGAGTATTCATTTTTATTTTTAATAAAGTTGGGCACTAGGTTTACATTAGTGTTAGTTGTAGAGCCGTATGTCAAATGATATTGTATTATCTGTATATGTATAAATAAACTGCAGACATACAGACTTATACTTGTATGTCCGCGTATCGTTATTATTATGTATAATAATCGATGGAAAAATTTATATTAATGAAAAAGATTACCTACGATAAAAATCGCAATTTCTGTCATATCTTGCGACGACTATCACCGACGGAAAAGAGAAAATTCTTTACGAAATTAATCATGGTGGAAGAAATTCCATGAAATTAATAACAAGAAATAATGATCGAATTCGTTATCTCGGATATAATTAAATATCAGCTTACGTATAATTCTTATATTGTCTTCAATTTTGCGATATGCATAATGTCTATTATATTATATTTTGACTTGTCTTTAATGTATACAGTGTCTGAAAATAATCGCCAAATATTTTATGGGCAGGTAGAGAGAACTAAACTGAGTCGAAAAGTCCATTTTGCAATTTTCGCAATAGTTAACAAGATATTAATTACTAAAAATTAACAAATATTGGTCTTGAATAATTTTGTACTCAAATACTATCAACTTCACAGAAATCTGCAAGAGACAAAAATCATTTATTTTCTTCTTATAAAGTTCCGAGAATTTTTTAAGAATTTTTTCAGAATTTTCTAATACCGTATTTTCTCAGGTTGGTAAAAATGAGAAAATGCAGTATTAAAAAGTTGATAAAAAATTCTGAAAAAATTCTTAGAACTTTATGAGAAGAAAATAAATGATTTTTGTCTCTTGCAGATTTCTGTGAAGTTGATAGTATTTGAGTACAAAATTATTCAAGACCAATATTTGTCAATTTTTAGTAATTAATATCTTGTTAACTATTGCGAAAACTGCAAAAAATGGTAGAGGACTTTTCGACTCAGTTTAGTCCTCTACCTGCCCATGAAATATTTGGCGATTATTTCCAGACACCCTGTATACTATTTTAATAGATATCTTTAAAGAAATGTCTTAAAAAATATTTTTTAAAAGAGATCATTTTGATATCTTTAATATATCTATTACAAATATTTTAAAGATATTTTTTAAAATTTCTTTAAGATGTCTATAGATATCTTTTAGAAATTCTACAAAGATATCTTTAACAAAATTTTTATGGATATCTTTTAGATAATTTCTAGATATCTTCTAGGAATATCTTGAAAATATTTTTAAAAAGATATCGTTTAGATATTTCAAGATCTCGATATTTTCTAGGCAGTTCTATCAATAGAGATTTTATCAATAATTTTAAAATTTAATTTTTGTATATTATATTTTTGTATTTTAGGGAGTACCTATTGTTACATTTGCACTTGGTACATGGCAAATTAAGAGATGGAGATGGAAGCTGGATCTAATAGAAAAGCTAAAGCAACGTACTTCAGCAGAGCCAATCGATTTGCCATCAGAGTAAGATTATGATATTAGAAATTTTAAAAGAAAAAATAAATTTGTATAAAATAGTGCTTATAATATAATATTCTAAATTAGAATATTATATTGTAAGCACTATATTTTATACAAATTTATTCTAATTTAGAATATTATATTAGGTGTTGGAATTAATTCGTAGCGTTTTTTAATGAAAGAATGTTATTTATTTCACATGAGCATTAAAAAATACATTAATGAAAGTACTTCCCATCACTTGTAAAACGCTACGAATTAATTCCAACACCTAATATTATAAGCACTATTTATTGTAAACGTTTTGATGTTTTAACGAAAATCATTTCTTTTTAGCATAAACGAATTAAAAGATAAAGAATATTATCGTATGAAAGTGAAGGGCAAATTTTTATATGAAAAAGAATTTTTGATAGGACCTAGAAGCCTAATTATTAATGGGGAAAGTGTTAGCGAAAAAGGTGGTGGAATATTTTCTCGCAAAACAAGTTCGGGATATTATGTGATTACGCCTTTCAAACTGGAGGATCGGGAGTAATTATGCTTTCATTAATTGTTGATTAAAAAAAAATTATGGACATACTAAAATTCAATACTTTTACATTTTCTAATTCAGTATAAAATGAATTTGATATTATTTCTTGAGTTTAGCTTGATTATTATGGTAAATCGTGGATGGATTCCTAAATGTGATCGCTCAATATATAAAATGGGAAATAAGATTATAGACCCCGTAGAAGTTATTGGTATTATTAGAACAACTGAAAAGCGACCTCCATTTATACTCAATAATGCACCTGCGAAAGGTGTATGGCATTACAGGTAAAGGCACATAGTTTACTTATTCTATTAATCATTTCTATAGTAATCAAATTTAAAAAAATATTTAATATTGTCAAAAACGATGTTTTCTATCACATAAAAATTTAAACAAGTATGTTCTAGAGATTTAAATGCAATGGCAAAGATAGCAGAAGCAGAACCTGTATACATAGAATTATTGGCCGAGTATAATATACCTCAAGGTCCAATTGGAGGCCAAACGAAAGTAACTTTAAGGAACGAACATTTGAGTTATATGATCACTTGGTATTCATTATCTGCCTGCACGAGCTACATGTGGTTCCGACAGTTTATACAGAAATTACCTCTTATTTAAATGCATTTAGATATTTATATATCTGCTATACATAAAAAAATATAAAAATGTAATTATGTGTATATAATAATTATTATATATAGTTATGCAATTGTATATTTGTCATAATAATTTTTAATTACGATTATACATTATACATTTCTAATTAGTTTTCCAATTCTAATTACGTATTTCATTGTTTTCGCATCTTTATGAAAAATCAAAACGTAATTATTGATTTGTGCGAAATGAATGGATACAAAACTGGAAAGAAAAACGTAATTTTTTGAATTCTTTATTTCGTAAACATAATAACTGTGTGGTGAATGTATTCCATCTCTAGAACAGAAATATTATCTAATTGTTCCCCCAGAAAAAAGGCCTCCCTGCCTTTAGCTATCATAATAATAACAATGATAACTATAACAGCAATCGCTACAAGCTTTCACTAACAAAATCTTTAACAATGGTCATGGTATACAACACAGGTGCCCAATTAGTTAGACCGAAGGGCCACATTTCAAATTTTGACTATTGCCCGCGGGTTTTTTCGCCGCGCGCGCTTTACTTACATGGAATTTTTTTTGGAATACGATTATATTTTGGAATATTTGCGGATGCGGGTCGGACATTAGGCACCCATGGTGTACAATATACTTCCATAAAGTCAGCATAAAAAATATTTTTATACAAGTATGCAATATATAAATACATCGATTTATATAATTATACTATCATATAATATAATAATGACAAATAACACTGACAATAATATAATAATAATATACAAAAACAGATCGAACAGGAAACTAGCAAGACAGTCAGGGCATAATAAAGAATGTAAAATAAAATAAATATTTCATTAAGCTCGTTTGTGCTTATAATTCGCATCTTTTTTATAAATTTTTAAAAATTTGTGAGAATTGAAATATTTTGTTTAGTTAATCTTTTAATTAAATTAGATATTTATAATTATTTTCAGATTTAAAACTATTCCATAAAATTCGTGTTCCTTAAAGTATTTACAACAAGATTGTTAATTGATTGTTTCGCTGATCCTTCATCGATATTTCGTTAAAAAGTCATTGTCATAAAATTGACGAAGTTTCATTAAGATTAACATTTTTGTTTTGTTGGTGTTCATTATGTCGTTATTATTTTGCAAAGCGAGATATACATCATACACCTTTCGCAGATGTATTATCGAGCGTACATTTTATTGTCGATGTGATGTTCTTAAATTATTTCAAACACATTGATAACAGTATCGCTTTCTTACCTATAGGATCCGTTCTTGAAAGTTGGCATAAAAACATTTTTCTATTTTATTTGTACACGAAATGTTTCGGGAGAATAGGTACATGACAAAGAATTCTAATTTTGAAAGCATTCGGAATTAGCTTTTACTAAGAAATGAAAAGACGAGAATGGATTGCTCAACTTCGTAGATATTAACAATTGATATGATGTGCGATTATAATCCTCTAAAAATTTGATTATCGAAGTTAATCACATTTCCGAATTTTTGCTTTGGCAACACTCAATGTACCTTTCTTCAGAAACATCGCGTATACATTTTTCGACTCCGAAAATAAATCTACTCTTGCCTTAAACTACGAAATATGAAATAGTAGATTTTCTTAGACGTATTAATTGTGTTAACTTTCTATATATTAGATATTTGCTAGATATACTGTTCATGTGACGTCTTCGCAACGACTTCGCAAGAACATTGAAGGCAAGTCGCATATCGATTCTCTCGATCGTACCTTTATTGATCCCTCGTATATTCCTAAGGATATGTCCTTATATGCTATTATCGTATTGTACTACATTTTATTCATAGTGATTTTCAATTATACATTTATAGTCGTAAAAATCACAACGACCATTAGGGCCATGGCACACAAAAATTTAAAGCAGTAAGATGTAAGCAGTAAGGAAATCAACATGTTGGATTAATTACTGCTTACGAATTCTTCTATGATTGGTCTATCGCTTAGGTTTTACTGCTTGAGTTTTTTTGTGTGCCTTGGCCCTAACTCTCAGGCAAATCCTTTGGAGATGCTCGCATAGACAATCGCATATTTTATCTAATTGGATAACGAAGAACGTACATTGAATGAAAAAATCATTCTTAATCTGAAAATATCAATATTTTTATCCAATTAAATGGAACACGCTATACACACTTAGCTAATTAGCTCTCTAATAAAAACGTGTGCATTTCGGAAGAATTCACAAACAAAAAATTTACTAAATTTTAACAAATATGTTTCAATAGTACAAATGAAATATTAATTAAATGTAAATATATTTATTCGAAGTTTAGGTATAATTTTTTTATTTTGAGTAAATATTTATTTACTGTAAGTAAATATTTCGTTAGTACTATTGAAACAAATATTTATTAAAATTTAGCATTTTTTCCAATGTATTCATTTTGATGAATGTGCTTATTCAGCATCCTTCACACACATACACTTCAATTACCCGTCAGATTTTGTTGCAGGCTAAATTTCATATGCATCCATTTAGATGCGTACAAAATTTCCGTTCCTTGATACATTATATTTATTATATCGAACGCGACTTTACGTATAATATCTACTGTGAAACTCAGAATCAGATAATAGATTGAATAACTTAATGTTGAAAAGAGCTAAAAACGAATTTGCTTCGAAGTTCGGAGTAATCTTTACGCAAATGAAGCATATAATTTGAAAACAATGAATACGATTCTTTCATATCAGATATGAATAAATGAAACTCAGAATCAATTCAGTGACTACTCTTTTAGAGCCGTATTAGTAGTCAAAACTTAAATCGAAAATATGATTTACGCAAAGATTTATGTTATTTTTTTCGAATTTGTCTTATTTCTAATTTTGTAACAAAGATATATTTGGAACCGATGTAATTTCCTTAGAAATAAAAATATATTTTTAACATTCATAGCGCGAGGATATCAAATATAACATATTTTTAATACATATTTAATATTATTAAATAACATATTTTAAATAAAATACATATTTTTTAAACATGTCACTTTGAAAGTAAAATAACAATTTGAATGTTGAAAATTACATTTTTAGAAGAGAGAAAAGGTTTTTTTTCTCGATTAACTGTATCAATCTTGTAATTACTGTACATTTTTTAATAAAAATAATGTTTAAAGAATATAATTTCAATTAAATCATCGGTGCTTGATGTAAAGAATAATATAAGAATATAATTCAGTTATGACAAAAGTATTTATTATAAAAATTTTGATTTTTTTGCTATTTTATATTGCTTTATAAAAAAACAAGTACTTGTGAAATGTTTTGAAATATTTTATTTACAACTTTTCATTAAACAATTTTGTTTGCCTTTCCATGATAATACACTGCACGTTTAAACAGATAAATAACAACGGCTTGCTTTGTATTTTTTCTTCTAAACGTTATTTGATTAATGCACAGTAATTATAATATATTGCGCTGCAATATATGAAATTATATGTAAAAATATAATACAAATGCTTAATCCATAAAATATTTAACATTTATACTCATAAAATATTTAATATTTATACCCAGTCGGGTAAGTTAACTTTTTTAAAATTAAGTTACGTTAAAGTTAACCTTAAAAATTTAATTTAGAGAGTTAAGATACAAATTAATCCATAATAAAATTAATTGAATTAGAAATTAAGAGAGAGTTAATAAAAAAAAGTAATTGAAAAGTTAAAAGTTGAATTTGATTCGAACGAACAACTAAAAACAGAGAAAAAGAAAAAATTTTATCGTTTTACATAATTTTTTGGATAAAATCGCTGGTTTTTTTGTTAACAACGATTATACAATATAAATACCCCAGAATAAAAGATAACGAAAAAAGATCTTTTTTTAAGTTGTTTTTCCGACAAAGCGGAAAGATATCTAAAAAATGAAAAGATATTCTTTTTAGATAGTCTTTTCAGCAAGAAAAGATGTCTTATAGACATCTCTCTTGAACCAACTTTCGTACTTCAAAGATATATTTTCCCATTAAATTTATTTATTAAAAGAATAAAATATTTATATGAATTATATAT